GCTCCCGACAGCTGCCAATGGGTGCGGCAAACTGACAAAGTTCTGCAGGCAGAGGGCCGCACAGCGGAACAGCATGTAACCCAAACATACCATGCGTTTAGGTACTGAATGAGCCGGTGCCGGCTGCAACCTCGCCTGCGACGGTCTCATCGATTTGGCCCACCTTGGCGACAGTGAACGCACCCAACTCTGCAAGAGATGTTCCGAGTTCCGAGTTCCGTGTCGTGTTGTCGTGTCGAGGTCTTGACCTCCATCACCTTCGCAGGGGCCGCTGCAGGTGACAAGGCACCGGAACCTGTTTGCCTGCCATGTCAATGTTTGACTGGCATCTCTTCTCCAGGGACTCCCCCCCATGGGCGGTGTGTGAGATCTCGAAACTTTCTCGGCCAAAGCATGAAGGATGGCTCGATGTGTGGCTGGAAACAAGTGCTGTTTCTTGTCATCTTCGTTTTGTGCCAAATCTAGTAGTGGCCGCAGACGATCTGAGAACGCAGCACGTCCGGACCAACGCGGGCAGGGGATGATCGGGCAGGACCTGCACTTTAGAAGCCGAGAGCTGCGTGGCCCAGCTACGCAACGGCAGAGGGGTCGGGCTTGTGCGGAACCCTTGATCAGCCTTCGCCTCGCCACTTCTCAGCGCAAGCACCGAAAGCCGCAAGGGCGGGAAGGGTACTTCCCGCAGATGCTGCAGTTTGACCAGGTCACAACCTCCACCAATGGCGATGGTCAGTACAGAATCGGTGCCTGCACATCAGCTCCGAACAGACATTCGCCAACTTGTTCTCCGACCCGAACAATGCCGTCACATGCAGTAAAGGAGCATGGCACGTGACACAGGAGCATCTTCATGCAAGGAAGCTTCCGAAGCGCTTTGAAGAAGCATGAACGGACAGCTTCTGCCTGTTCTGCTCTACGTTGCGCCTTGCATGTGTTTGCATCCGAGCGGTGCATCAGCGAGGCCTGTGGCCTGAATGAAGCCGTCCAAGGTAAGCTGTTGCTGCCATTGCTGTCTCGACACCCAGCTGCTCCAACTTACCCTGCTTTCTATCCCGTGTCTGATGTTCGTCCATCCGACCGAAATGCATCGGAATCGTAAGGACGTACGTAGTCTTCAGTGTCGCAATGCCTGAAGTACTGAACTTGAGACGAGTCGCGAGCAGCTCGCACGGGAGGCAATCTTCGTCAGCAAAGACACTACCTGTGACTCAGCAAGACCGGACAAAGATGTTCCTCGCCTGCACTTACCTTTGCCAAGTCAGCTGATTGGATGCGATCGAAACTGGCCATGCCAAGAGTGTCGGGAGCATCAGGTTGGCTTTGGCGAGGCGCATTTCTCCTTCTCTCAGCTTGGCGTTTACCTGCTGTGTTACCGTGTCGTGCCAGCAATATGCTAAGTGATTCCGTGTGCCGGGACAAAAAGCGCAGCGAGCTGCCAGACTCCAAGGATCAGCTGGTGCGACTTGACATGATTCAATTGAAGTTGAGTGACTCCTAGATTAGCAACTACAGGATTTGTGTGTCTTGTGTGTGGAGACTCATGCAACTTCAAAACCAGATGCGAGGGATTAGTTCAATCGAGAGGCCGACAAGCTGGTGTTTGTAAAGTGAGTGCAAACTGTTACTGTTCCTCATGAGTAGAAGCCGTCTCAATGTGTTGATTCTTCAAGTTGCGACGTTAGTTTAGTACGGGTGCGTGCTCCGCAGTTTGTGTCCGGAGTCGGCGCTCGAGACACTCACACTTAGTGGATCTTCGTAGTATGTCGCCTATACGCTCTGCAGGCACATGACTCCGTGCTTCAAAGTGGCTTCAACCTGACCGTGAAGACTCCTGGTGTCACGAAGAACATGAAGCTTGGCTACAGAGTTTCTTCGCATTTCAGGAATATCGCCGTTCTGGGCTCTAGGTCCTCCATGTGTCAGTGCCCATGCTTGTCGTGTTGGGCCAACAACAAGGATCCGACCTTTCGAAGGCAAAGGGGGCAGTCTAGACTGCTCTACACTGCAGTTGGTGGCCATGCCGCACTTGAAGCTTCTTACAGCTGGAAGTTGGTAGTGTCTGTGTGTGTGTGAGTGTGTCTGTGTCTGTGCGTTGACTCGTATTCGGCTGACTCACTTAAGTCTTGGCCACTTCGAGGTGCCACACTGTTCCATGGCGAATGCCGGCTCGTGTCAAACATCCTACATCATTCACAGAGGACTTGCAAGTTTCATCAGAAGTAGTACAGTAGCAGTTCTTGCTAGTCAGACTGCAGGAGTTGGTTTCAGATGCAGATGGAACCAGGAGTTGAAGCCTGCTGCGCAGCTGAGTCGCACATTGCATGAGGGTTCGTATAGTATTACCAAGAGCTGGAGATGCTTTCACTATCCAGTTGTCTCCTTGTCAGCACCGAGGTGTGATGTTGAGAAGATCAATACTGCTTCTGCCGACATCTGTGCTGCTGCGCCGGGGCCTCAGTTGTTCGTCAGACCGTCGGTGCAGGAGTGTGTGTGTGTGTGTGATGCTCGAGGAAGTGCCCTGGAAGTCCATCCTTGTGTTGGTGACAGCACATGATGACGCGTACCAGCTGAAAGCTGCGAGACACAGACGAATTTCCGAGACGCACCACTTTAGGCTGCAGGATCTTGAATCCACGGCATCTCGAGGCCGTGACAGGCTTCTGGTCCGTTGGACTTTGCAGATGTTGCAAATGCCGGCTGACTAAAACGGCTGCCGATCAACAACTTACTTCCGTGCATAGCAATATCCACCGAATCTATCCCAGCGTTGATGGTGTAGGTGGCGACAAAAGCGGCAAGCGGCGGAAGAAGTGGAGTTGCTCGATGCTTAGAGCTGCTGCACCAGATCAGCTGGTGCCAAACGATGTTCGCATGATCTTCGTCCTGTCGGGAGGCTTCGTCTGCCGCACCTTGCAAGCAGAAGATCAAGAGGCAGGATAAAGTGCAAGACCTCAGTTGGACTTTCACATGGGCACAGAGACCATCAGAAGAGAGAGAGAGAGAGCTCCTGCGCTCGCTAAGGGCAAACGGGGCAAATGGTGTGCGGCTCAGACTCAGTCAGGAGAGCGAGTGGCGCACAGAGAGAAAAGGCTGCTTGGCGGTGGTTTGCTCGTGGGGGGCGCCGCTCCGCTCCACGGCATCCAGTCAGCGGCCTGGCTCCAGCGAATCCCTACTCCACGTCTCAGTGGCCTCGCGAGGCCGCTTCGACGCCTGGGCCTCCAACCGAAGCTCCGGGCTTTGCCAGGCCAGGTCCCATTCGAAGCCGTATCCTCACAAGCTACGCGCTTGTCTCTGAAGGCGGAGCTCGACATTTTCTGAACCTTCGTCCGAATGGCATCAGAAGAGTTCCTCCTCCACGATTCGCGTGCGGATCTTGGACTATGGAAGTTCATCTCTGATCCCTTTCCCGTAGCTACTTGCAGCATTGAAGCCACCCACCTCCCCAACAGTAAGCTGGGATTGTGCAGCGATGTGAGCGCCACATTTTTGAGTGGCTTCCTGCGTTGAATTGAAAGAAGTGGCAGTTAAGCATGACGAACGCTCCTTGCAAGCTTCATTCCAGCAGCCTCTGTCTTCAGATATTGTGCTAAGTTGCAGTACATGCACTTCTTCCTTGCTATGTGGCACAAGAACAGCACACCCGAGTCTCAACTTGCTGATGGGCAGTTTAAAGAACAGGTGAGGCTGGAAAGAGACGGAAGTTGAAAGTAGCTTCCCGAGCAGGCTTTGGCGCTGAGACGGTCTGAGAGCGAGCTGTGTTCCGTAACAGAGGACATTTGCTTGGCAAGTCTTCGTTGGCTTGCCCAAGCGCTGCGCAGTTAGACTCGATTCTTTGCTTCTCATGCAGATTTTTGGCTTTAGCCAGGCAGTTCTCCTTAATTCGGATGCATTTTTTCATTCAAGCCTGGCCGAAATGCACTTCAAGCACAAGCGCAAATGCCAAAGACAGTGGACAAGTACCGGGCTGTATTGAAGGGGCGGCTTGTGCCCTTTGCCTGTCATCCTTTGGGTCGAGACTCGAGCTAACTGCAAAGACTTTCCTGAGCTTTCTTCCTTTTTCCCAGAGGCAGGTGCCGGCCGGGCATTGCCCTATCGGACGAGTTTGTATCTGCGGCGCACGCACTTCCCAATGAGTTGGCAGCGCCCGTCTGAAATTGCTTCCGAAGTACGCGACCGAAAAAAGCTTCTGCTAGCGTGTTGCAGGAGTGTTGCAGGTCTGAGGCGCTGCGAATTACGAAGTACAGATCTCATCAACTGCCACTCCTTTGAGGATGTCGACGCGAGCTCAAGACTGGCTGAGTCAGAGGCCTGTTCCGCAGAGATGCGTGGCGTCGTGTCGGGAGAAGCCCTGCGCAGGATGCGGAAATGCTCGACACCCAGAACTGGAACTGTGTCAGCACGATAAGCTGTGCCGGTTCTGCGTTCTCGCGACATGGTTCGTTTCTGTCGTTCACGGCCGGTTATTGGGGGCACACGGCCTGCCACACATGCTGTCATGGCCTTTAGCAAGCAAAGGGTCCTTTCTCCGTCTCCGTGGCTGATCTGCCTCAATGTGGAAAAGAATCTCTTTGAATCTGAAAGACTGGGCTCCACGAGATACGAGCTGACTCGCTTTGACAGAACAAGAGTCACCAGACTGTCAGGGTGCTTTAGTTTAGTGTCAGGCCCAGAGCCTGCAGATCTGGTATGTAATCTAAGGTCGTTGTCTCCAAGCCTCTCTTCTCGTTCTGTCGCATCAACTTGCTCGAAGGTCACATATGTGCATACAAGCCCAGCAGAATAAGAAAGCGTTTCCTCGAAGACTTCGCCAGAAAGCAATACATCAAATAGAGAGATCCACAAGTTACAGTAGGCTTGCGCCAATGTGGGATTTCGTGGGTGACTAGAAGAACGACAGAAAGAGGTAGGCGCAAGATGCAACCGGACACAAGTGATTCATGCCGCCTGACTACAGTCCGCACAGGAGCTGCTTGATCCGCAGAGATTTCAGAAGTTGAGACAGCATGAGGCTTCCTGCGATCCCTGATGCGGCCTTGGTGCCGTCCTTGGCAGAAGTTGTTTGCTGCTGCCACTGTCGTTTGCTGCTTCGTTAGATCAGGAGCAGCACCGCAAGATTGAAAAAATGTTGGCTGGTGCTGGCGGGGAGCTGCGCTTGGGGACAGTCGAGCAACTTCTAAACACACAGCTTCACAAGCAGGCCGGTGATTTTCCTGAATGTCTACAGACAGAGACATGTCCTAGTAGCTGCCTGTGCCTTGCAAGTGCTCGAGATCTTGCAGCTTCTGATTTGGGACACACTGCAGGCACTTACCGGTTTCGCGATTTCCCCGTGAACCGGCTTCGGATTGGATGTGGACGGGATCCCAGGCAGCTTGCGGTACAAATGATGATCTGCCAGGTCAGCAGATGGAGACCGTCTGAAAGATCTTGTGCGACTTACTGCGAAGCAGGCGAATCTTGAACGATGTGCTGAGCTCTGAATCCGTGTTGAGTCAGGCATGCCAGCTGCTTGAAGGGCCCAGCTTACAGATGGCATATCTGGAGGCCTATGGGATTACTACATGCTCCCAAAAGCGATCGCAATTATTAACAGCGTTTGCAATCTCTGCACGTGCCAGGACCAGTATTTCGCACTTGGTGATGCGGCCATTTTCTCAGGTTTTAAAGCGCCCTTTAAATTCGACTTAAGCATAGAATCGCACAGAGGTCTTGCAAGCTGGCCTCGACTTCGACAATGAGGACAGTGACAGACTAGCCGACAACGCTCAATGCAAGGCAAAAGCCTTTAAACGGTTCGTCAAGACGCAAACTCCATCGACACCAGGACGCAATCAAGAGACTGTGCAAAGCATGGCAGCTGCATCTGTAGCCCTGGCGCCCAACCCTAAAGCACGTCGGCTCAGTCTGCATGTAACTTGGGCAAGCGCGTTGTTCGTCTCAACCATAGGCATCCCCACGCATCCCCGCGACAACAGCGGGCCCTCTCCGATGCACCTGACAATCCATGCGTGTTTGAAGCCATAACGGACGATTTTGTGCCCCGTCCTTGAAGGAGATGTGGCAGAAAATGGGATTCAATGATCCTGGTTTCATCATAATCTACTTCTCTAGGATGCCTTAACGCACTTGCGTCTTTCTGGCCCTCGCCTGAAAGGAGAGGTTTCGGAACACCTTCGAAGACTTCTTGGCAAAAAGAGAGGCCTGCAAACAACGGAAGGGACTGGCATGTTTCGCAGCAAGGTGTCCTTAGAGGGAGTGTCAGCGGTGCTGCTTTGTTCACACAGGAGCTGAGGATGGCAGCGCGGAGGACCCTTTTCAGAATAACGCGATCACGTCGCGGACCATCGTGCGTAGGAGAAACACGGCAGAACATCCCACGTGACACACGGCAAGCTGTTTGACTGTGAGGTCGTTTCAGCCACCACATAGCGCCGCAGCTCAGTTCGCGGGCTTTTTAAGATAGTCCATGCCCCGAGTTGGCCGGAACATGTTGAAAGCTTTGCCAATCTAAATGCAGCACATTGATTCGCTAACTCCTCTACAGCCTTATATAGATCGAGGAGCAGACATGCATGCGGCTGTCGCACACGAGATACATTGCTCAGGGAAGTGCATATCTTGGCTGGTGGAATTGTGTTTCAGCAGGAACGCCTTTATACCTTACGTGCCGCGAACTCGGGCTGCAAAGAGGACTGCAGCAATTGCGACGAGCTTTCTTCACTCAACTCAGACAACGTTGTCCTGGCTTCGCCTGCAGGAGCAGAAAGGATCTTCCGCCTATGACGCAGTTTGAGTACGAAGCCTAAGGGTCTTATGTCGGCAAGGCATATAAAACGTATGCAACTCGTGCCATTCTCGCATAGCGGACTGAGCGATCGCTAGGAAGAATCTCCTGCAAGACATTCAGCGAGTACTGAAGGCGCGGACTCATCTCACGAAATTAAGTTGTGATACGTTGTGGTTGACACTTCACTCGAACCACTGAAGCAACCACGGCAGGGAAACCGACTGTCTTGGCAACTGGGCTTTTCCTGTGCGCTGGGGGAATGAGAACGTGGCAATTTCCGCATGTCGAGATAGCTTTCAGATTTGATTTCAGAACAAGCCAATGCAACATCGGGCGGACAGCTAAGTATTGCAAGTACTGCTTGTGGCGCCGCACTTCGCTTGGTTATGTTCGTCGTAACAACCTGCAAATGTGTACTGTCTGTAATGCACACATGAAATTAGATGGATGTTCAATGGTTTCCATTGCTTAGCAGCTAAACCTGCCGGTGCCCGGTGCCCTGCAACAGTTCCCTAGGCTAGTGGATTCAACTCTCGCCTGGAAGAATCCGGGCCTTCCGCGTGACTAGCAGGTGTGGCAATCGTTTGCGACAGGGGGTTCTGTGTTCGGAGGTGCTCAAACACATTTCCAAGAACGACGGCGGCTTAGACACCTGGGCTGGCTGAAGCCAAGCCCAAGGCCCATGGCCTCGATAGGTCGAGCTGCCGAGGATCGAAGCTCCACAGAGGTTGGGCTTCAGGTCCTACCACGGCCTCTGCAGGAAAGGAATGCTGGGACTACAGCCGAGCGGGCATGCTCTTCAAAATTCGGTAGTGAAGGCAAGATCAAAGAGGAAACCCGTAACTACGCGGCTCTTTCTCGGCCTTTCCCCTGTTGCAGCTACGTCCTGTTGCCCATTACGTGCCCTTGAGAGTGAAGCAGGCTCGGCAGGCAAGTCAAAGCTGGATTTCACTGTCGGCCCCTGAGCTCTGGCTGTGTCGCAAAGACCTTGCCCAGCTTTGCCTGTTCATCAAGCCACTCGCGAAGTCCGCATACAGTGGCAGCCTGCATACTGAGTTACTGTAGCTTCATGATTGCAGGTCGGAGTTGCTCGAGGATCCAGTCATTCGGAGGCTCCGTTTCATGCCGAGACGCTGAGCCTCCCATGGACGCATCGATGGAGTCAGAAAGTGCTACACATGGCACATCAGCTTGTTGCCACGCCGTGATGTGCAGAATAGTCAGCGTCCAACATCTCCACTTGCATGTGATTTGGCGACTTGCTGGTCTGTTGACGCAGGGCACGGTGCAAGCTTCCCCGTGGGCTGGCCTTATGGGAGTGGCTGTCTTTGCGTTGCGGGGACAGCGGTGATGCTGAGATCACCATGGCCGGAAGCCCGGCCAGGGCTCAACGGTGTCTCTGGCTGTCCACATCAAGCCGTCTAGCTGTAAATGATGGATTTATACATGCCTCGTTGCTTGTCGTTTACCCGCACAGTGCTTACACGGCACACACACACACATACGTACACACACGTACATGCATGTATAATGTTCGGACTGCATACCGCAGTTTAAGAGCAGAAACCTGTTTGTATCAAACGCTGGGCTGGAAGGCAAGTGTGGCGAGACTCGAGCATGAAGCAAGATAAGCTGTTCCTGAAAATCTGGGAACATGAATACAAATTGTCCCGAATTAGTCTGACGTCGATCAAGATGAGGCAGGCTCCGTTTTGGAACTATAGCCTTTGCATGTGTTCGTGCGTTCACGAGCGACATCGGGCGACGATCGAGCATTGACAAGAGAGCAAGCGAATGAAATGAGGACATTCGAGGCAAACCCTCCTTGGAACCATGGGCATCAGTCCGTGAGAACAACAGGTGGCCCATTTTCGAGAAAGGATGCTCAGAGTCGGACACAACTTCATCAAGGAGAAATCAACCAGACGGTGCAGCTGCAGCGAAAGCAGGGTGCTCGCCATTCTTTTCAAGGACCGTGCCTTGAACGTGCAAACGACCTTTGTGTTCAGAGGCACAGGCCTTGCACAGCTTGTCGCTCTCAGGCGACTGATGTCCCTGTGCTAATCCTCATGGGAAGATTTCAGAAAAGGCAAGTGCCCAAATTCCTGCTGAAGGTTGCTGGAGCTCTGAAGATGTTTGATGAACTCGGACACATCAATGTCCAAGCAGTTGTCTTTGTGATATGCAGAGAAATCATGTTAGAAGGGGTTCCGGAAGCTTTGGCCGGCCCAATGAATCGAACTGATCCTTTCCGCTGCCCAATTGAAATTTGAGGCGAGTTCACGATCTGCTCTGTCGATTTCTTCTAACGCCTAAGTTCCTTACTTTTTGCAATGTCAGCACCACCCGCCCCAAAGCTACAGTATCAAAGCCAGTTGCGTTTAGAGGCTAGGGCTAAGTGCTTCTTCGCTTGCAGCTCTTGTTGTGCAAGGTCATGCAGGGTCCATGTGGAACTCTAGAAGTGCACTAGAATCAATGACTGATGACCCGGACCTATTTCAAGGTCGGTGGATAGGGGAAACAGAGCTCACAGGTGACTTGGGGATGCGTACGCAGTGCTATCACAGTTTACCAGGGATAGAGATGTAGTTTGAATTCATGGTGGAGAACTCCTCCATCCACCAAAACAGAGGGAACGCAAGCAGCGTCCCGAAACAGCTCCCCACCGATACACCGTTACACCCATCAGCGCAAGTGCGGCATGTCGGCGTATCCGCACATTTCCCTTCTGGGTCGGCATATCGGTGTATCGGCGCATTTCTCTCCCGGATCGGTGTATATCGGCGCAATTCGGCGCATTTCCCTTCCCGATAAAACAGCTCAGCACCGATACACCTGTACACCCATCAGCGCGAGCGAGGCGCATCGGCGTGATCGGCGTGTTTCCCTTCTGGATCGGCGTAGACCGGCGTATCGGCGTATGTTCCGTCCGTGCGGCCTCGACCGGCGTATCGGTGCAAGGCGATTTAAGGCCACTACTTGCAGGCCCTCTGCTTCATAACATGTAGTGCGAAAGTCTTTGGGCATGATTGTACCTGTGAAAACGTACGGTTTATGAATGTTTATGTTGAACTAGGCAGGAAACTTGCGCTGTCTTTCGTGCAGCCGCACGTTTCGCAGAGCCCATTTTACAGGCTTAATTTCATTCTGAAGCAGAAATGCGAAAGTCTATCGCAAAGCGCCAGTCAGCGCAAGTTGCAGAACAGCAGAGGATTCGTTGCTTTCTTTGCTCCGAGAAAAAGAAGCACCAAAGAGCATGTCCACTTCACTTCTGAAGCCGTGTACTAGATGGACGAAGCAAACAAGGGGAGACACCCACACAACACGATGCACGAGACCGGTGAGGATATGACGAAGAAATAAGGTCCAGGGCTCCGGGCTCCCTGAAGATCCCTGAACTGTGCACATCTGCTTCGAATTTCAGATTTCACCCATTGGCAGGCTTCATCTGTTCCGTCTCGTGGCAGTGTTTTACTACGCAGCGGGACGGAAGCATGTTCTGGCATCACGTTAGTTGTGGCAAGAGATGCATTCAAGGCCAATGCGCATGCCGGAGTGCTAGTGGCTGCTAGACTTGTGTGTGCAAGCGCTGCAGTCACATCGTGTGCGCTGGCGACAAGCCTGAGCCCAGCATTAGGTCAATGAGAGATCCGACATGCTGCTGCAGATGGTCACGGCACCTCCACGGGCTTGTACTTGGATGGTAGCAGCAGTGACGCTGGTGTGCAACTTGTTTCTAGTATTGGCACAGTTCGCACGGCCTGCGACAGGCGAGTGGCCCGGCAGATGCACTCCAGATGACATTAGAAGAAAGAAAGCAAGAGGTACGGCCTGCCGAGATTGCCATGTAGAGCAACAACTTGCTTGTGGCGCACTGTCTCATCTCGCGCAGTTGTCACTGGCAGTTTTCGAGACGCTGGCGATCTTGTGTCGGAGCTGCATCACAGCAACACAAGCCACTTCAAGCAACGGTGTCGAATCGTCTCTGCTCGGTTTCGCAGACAGCCTCCCAGGCAGCGAAACTTCCCCGATGGCGGAGGTGTCGCTGGCAGTCGATCTTGGGAGGACTCTGCGGGATTGCTGTTCTTGGAGGTCTCAGCCTGGAAGATCTGCAGCAAGTCCCAGCGACTCGGCCTGACAATAAAGCATCTGAATGACAGGCCGCCAGATGTTTTGCAGAGCCATTATTGCCCGGCGCTGCCGGATAGTTGATGCATTCAATCATGCTTCAGCGCAGCACAAGTCAGCAAGCGAATGTCATTCATTGCACGGCACTGGCAACAGGCACATCTGCGGGTGGCACTGATAGTGGTTTCTGTGTGATACCTCACATACATCACTGCGTTTTCTGTGCGACAATGGCCTGATGCGAGCCCGAAAACCGAAATCTTTTACAGATGCACCCTGCGTCGCGAATGACGAGCAACCTCAAGTTGCCCTAAGGAGCTCGTTAACTTCTCATATTGCACTTGCCCTTTGAAACTTGAGAGTGGTTGAGCTTGGCAGTGCTTTCCTCGAGTCTGTAAGGGAGGTCGCAGCAGACATAGCTTCTATGTGTAGTGCATCATGCACGACGAGCAGTGATGGATGTTGATCCCGCTTTGAAGCATCAGAGCCTTCAGGCAGTTGCGAGCTGCTTTGATGCAATGCAATTGGATTCGGAGAGACAGTGCCGTTGACCAAAGTCCTGTTTGCGTGTCTTTGGCTTTCTCTGCTTGCCTTACAAAACTCGCACGAGGATTGCAGTTCGGCAGACCGGCCTTGCAGCAGGTGCCCCATGTACCCATGTCTATCATCCCCGTCTCTTCCACATGGTTTTGAAAGGCACTAAGCCGGATGAAGACGGTCAAGGCCTTCCCGCGACGCGGCGACGCCCGTCGATCGACTGAGTGCTCGTCTCCAGAGGTGTTTGCGCGGGCTGACGGGCAACAGATGGTTCAGCTGCGACCAGCACGGTCTCGCAGTTTCTCGAGCATGCTGCGGCGGTTGCATGTATGGCGATGCACTGTGCCAACTGAGACTGAGGCTGCTGAGGTCCTTGGCAAGGCAAGGACAACGCGGCAAAGTTCTCAGCAGCATCTTGACGCTTGTAACATCCGTGCATTCGACTGCACATCGTCTGCAGCCTCGGCCACGAGACATGACCTTTCGCATGGTGCTTTGCGGAGCAGGAAGGCGCCAATGGCAGAGCTTCATCGACACAGGAGTTCTCCAGGGTTGCCTCAACACCTGTGGCATGTTGCAGAACTCCGCATTCCTCGGCTTTTGCCCCTGGTTTCCAGGAGACCAAGGAATCGGAGAAGTCCAAGCCAGACAAGCTTGCAGCCAAAGACGCTGCGACGAATTCACAGTCTAAGTCAACGCGACCGAGTTCGTTGCATGAGGCTCAGCTTACTTACATCAAATCGAAAGCAGCTGCCAGTAGTGTGACGCGATTGACACCTGGTTACAGGAGCGGCTTTGCAGGTCGGAGATAGCATTCTCGTTCTCGCGAATACTTTCGGCTCAAGGTTGCCCTCAAAAGCCCTGGCCCTGAGCCGATTCGGGCACGTCAAAGGCGGGCCAAACCGACATGGAAGGACCACGGAGGCCAGCAAGAGCGAATGTTATGCATGATTGCGAAATTTGTGCCTCACTCCAGATTGTTGGCTGCTTTTGTCAGGGACTACTTTTTCAGCACCACTGACGAGCCTCACGTGACCAGAAGGCTGCAGCGCTGAGCAAGTGTCACAAGACATCTGCTTCTGGCTAACAGCGCCTTCTTGAAAGGGCGGAGATTCTGAAGCAGCATCCCGAGATCAAAAGCCTTGGGCCCAGGAAAGCAAATTGAACAGGATGACGACAGTTACTAGCATGCTGACGTCAGCAGGTCTGATGGGGCCGGAGTGGCGAACGAAGTATATTGTGGCGGCAACAGTCGAATTCTCAGTACAGCACCCTCCTTTCTCGACTGTTGCGGTGCCTCGCTCTAGTCCAGAATCGCCGGCAAACCTAAAGCTAATGAAGCCGCTTGGCGCAAGAAGTGGCATTTCTTGTCGTCCACGTATACTGTCTTCTGCTCATTGTGCGCCATGGAGAAGATGTCCCGAGCGCAGCCACATCGACCTCTTCTTTGTCTTGCAGTGGCAGTCTGCTGGGGAGCTTTGCTGCTGCCCAGTGTCTTTGTGGCTCCGAGCCCGGGCCCAAGACCCAAGGCTAAGGCTCCGTCACAGCTCACTCGTCGAGCAGGATCCGAAGACATCGCAGTGGCTGCAGACAGCGCGACTTCACCGCTGCTGGCTCCACTCAAAGTTGCAAGTCTTGGCATGGGCCTGCTGAAGCCCATTTTCGCCGCTGAAGCTAAACTTCAGGCTCTGGGCTATGACGAGGAAGAGATCCGAACCAAGATCTCGGACGATGTGAAGTCTGCCCCGGTCGTGGTCTACACTTACGGCCTCTCACCCTTCTGCACAGAAGCAACTAAGCTCCTGGATTCACTGGGGGCGCAGTACAAAGAAATCCAACTAGCACCCGAGTGGTTCCTCATGCTGGGAGAGAGTGCAGCCAAACGTGCAGAGCTGGGTGCCATGTACGGAAGAGCCCCGGCCGCACAGCAGCGCAGCAACGGGAGTCTCCTTGAGTGAGCGCCGCTTCCGTCCTCTGACTCGAGGAACGAGCATGCCACACATCTTCATCGGCGGCGAGAGTGTTGGCGGCCTGATGGAAGGAGAGAGGTTTGAATTTGTGGCTTGGGGAGTCGAACAGAACAGTGCCATAGGTGCCGCACATCAGGACCTGGGCTTGTTCCACTCTACGAGTCGGGTGAGCTGACGGCCAAGTTGCAAGCTGCTGGTGCTCTTCCCAGCGAGGAGACGGGAGCTGACTGGGCTTCTTGCACGCTCCTGAACTCTTGCAAGTTACATCTGACTTGACAGATGGTGCGTTTACAAGACAGCGTAGAGCATTGACGACAGAGAACTGAAGTTGCGAATGGCAGGCATTCTGTGCCCGTCATCCAGGAACAGAGGGAACGAGTGTGGGATTGGGGGATTGTGTGTCCCGAGACATTTATAGGGGATCGATTCGAACCGGCTCTTGCGGTGCCGGCTCAGAAGGGTGGCGAGAAGCCGAAGCACTGAAGAATGTATTAAATGTCAGAAGAAGAGAACGTCGAGAGAATGTGTTGCACATCTCAGTTCTTGAAAGGGTCGACGCCGATGAATCCTTCACGTTTTCACTGACTAAACAGTGTCTAGCAAGGGAGCGCAAAGACCGGCTCCCACGAGGATGCCATTTCGTCATTCTTCGGATCCCTCCGATGATTCCGCGTGGACATTGTCGTTTGACAAGACCGAGCATGACTGAGCAGACCCTGCTTCATCTTCGCTTCTCGTCGAGTGCAGCATAGCACCATATGGCACCGAGTTCTGTGGTGCATGTCCGGCAAGGTCCTAGGGCCTAGCTGTTGTTTCAAGCGGCTTGCGTGCACGACATCACGCCTTGCAATTTTCTGCCCAATTTTCAGCGCATATCTTATCAGCTCCATGCCAAAGCTGCTGCCTGATGTACTTCACTGCTGTGCCCGGTATTGCCCAGTACAGATTGGAAAAGGCTGCAATTCACCCTGATGCCTTGCTGGCTGCGAAATTCGGACGATCATGCGAATGTCCATGTCGATGTCGAAGGTAGCCCTTCAAATCTTCATGGCATGGTCAGGGCCCCGTCGGCATTGGTGGTTTTGTGTGACGTTTGCGAACCTCGCTTTGATCCCAAAGCTCTGAGGCTGACATTGGAGTGGAAGCTCCCGGCCTTGCTTCTGGCACTATACGTACCGACCGCAGATTACGGCCATTGTGGGTCGTTTCTTCACAAGTTGGACAACGTTGGACACTGAGGTCGTTGGTGCAACGGCGAACCACTCCCTCTTCCTTGCCATTCACGAACTGGCCCCCCAGCAGAAGACTACAGTCACTACTGCCATCTAGATTGAGCCTTGCGATCCGACGCATGGGCATACATGGCCTGCTATCGAGCGTCATTGCATGCCACATGACGAAAAGCTGCGCTGAGGCTCACAACCTTGGCGCCTCTACGTGCCCTCCTCAACGCACAGGTTTCAGAAGAAGAGCAATACGTCATTGCACCATTGGGCCATGAGAGCCATGCTATATCTCGCAGTCTGGCTTCACCACTGATATCACACCTCAGCATCCGACCGCGAGAGCAGTTCAAGCAGGATTCCGTTTTTCAGTCTCCAGAGGTCAGTCGCAAGTCCATCACCTGGCTCTCGGCCTCAAGCACCATTCCGAATAATTCCCCTAGCGGGTTGCGTAAATGCCCCGAATCTGGGCCAGAAATGGAGAGAAAACAGACTCGAAGCAAGCTGTGCCTTAGGATCTGGGGTAACAAGCTGATCTCTCTCGTGGCCAATCTGCCCATTGCATCGCTCTTAGTCTTCACAACGCTGCAGTGGCATGCAGGTTCGGCACGCTGCATTGCATGGTGGCTGCATCGACCACAACTTTGTCTCACCGTCATGTTCCGTCACAGATCGTCGAAGAATGCAACTCCAGTCTTTCAGCATAGCATGTGCGATGTCTTGCAAACGATGCATTGACTCATGAGTTGTGTCGTCCGTCTGGAAACCATGATCGTAAAACGGATCGTGACGTCGTGACCCGGGGGCTCAAAGCGGGCTCGCCGTTCAAGCCGCAACTGGCCAGTGGGATGCAAAATATCTGTTTTCTCCTGGTCTTACAGACACAGTGCAGGTCACAGACGAGGGTTCGCACTAAGGCGGAGGACGCTGCAAAGCCTCGCCTAGTTGCCAGGGCCAGGGCCAGGAAAAGGCCGTAATTTGGGAGGCTGCGATGATCTGCGATGATGATCGGGCGGATCGTGGCATGACAATGAAACTCAGTTCGAGGGATGAATGCAGCCCAGCTACGTTTCGCTACGTTTCAAGTGCTGCATTGGGCAGGACGTTTGGGTCGAGATTCCAGGATGCTCCAGGTGGTGGCGGTGGTGGTATTGGCTCCTTTCCACCTACTTGTACTATATTATATCTGCATACTACGTATAATGACATGCGCGACTTTCTTGAATACGCGAGCACTGCTTACTGTAAACTGTAAACTGACAGACATGAGGATTCCAGGATTCCACATTGGCATCACAGTCATGTTGATGCGGTCGTCGCAACACGGAAGACTCCGTTCTGCTTGGGCCAAGACCAAGCAAACCATCCCTTGAGTCGAAACTCTCTCGAGTCTCGGCAAGTAAAAGAAACCTTGAGCCTCGAACCGCCAGCGTCTTTGTCTTGCCAACACAAGCCTCAGGTGGCAGAGCCTTCGCTTAGGTTGCAGCACCTTGCAGCTGAGATCAGGCGAAACCTGGACGAGCGGATCTTGTTACGCGAAGCACACTGTCCCCCCCCCCCCCTCCCCCACAATGTCTCAACGTTACACAGCTGCCTGAAGTCTGACAAGATCAAGACTTCAAGAGCTCAGTGCAGCTGATTGGCCTGATGTCCAGGCCATTCCTTACGCCATCAACTTCAAGCCGTCCCGGCCACAATATTGAGTGAATTCTTTCGGAGCGTATGTATTGGCATCGCAGCAAAGGCTGAGAAGTGAGCTGCCAGCACTAAGGTATCATATGGAGACCTGCTGGCCAGTTTTTCGAGTCAGTCTCTGTATTGGTAGCGGGGTTGTTGCGGCACATGGGGTTTCTTCAGGTGGGTGGACAGGCATGTGCGTGTGCTTGTGTGTCACCCACTGCCTCGCATTGCCTCGCCAGATTATCACTTGAAGAAGGATTTGTCATGCTGCCAGGCACCACCGGTACCAGGGCCAGGACGGGGTGGACACTGATATACCGACCCGATTGGAAGGGCTTCTTGGTCGAAGTGAGTAGTGGCTTTTGATGACTTGGATCCGGGTGATCTCTTCAGCAATGTCACTGTTCGTAAAATCGTGTGGCACCCACATGTCAGCATAGCAGTAGACAAGTGACATCACATGACTGTTGCATGTGCGGTGAGACTCAGGTGGTTCCTCACCGACACTTCGACTTGCTATCTTGATCGAACATGCCGCAAGGCTGAGAAGCCGTGGGGCACAGTCTTTGGTACGCGTGTGCATACATTATTTACCAGTAGCATAAATTGTTTAACTATGTATGTTGGAGCCCGCGGCAACAACCTGTAGGATGCGTTGACGTAGTCCTATTCAGCAGCGTACGCGGGTCTCTCTGTGTTCGTGTGTGTATACATATGCATGTGTTTTGACTCTTGATGTATGTTTGTGTATATACATTCGTATATATATATATATATATATATATATTTATTTATTTATTTAATTTCGGGCAAGGGATTCAGACGTTGCATCCTTCAGAGCTTCCGGAGCCCACGGTACAACAGAGAGGCTACTTGTAACAAGCAACACGTGCTTAAGGCTGTTTGGAAAAGGCTTTCAAAAGCAAACGGAAGGCGGCTCAATGTCGCACTGATCAGCTTTTGAAATGATTTCTGAAAGCTCTCTTCGCCGCTTGCAGAGATGTTGTTTTTGGTGTGTTTGTGTGTGTGTGTGTGTTCCTGCTCTTGTCTATCCAGAAATGCTTTCAGAAATCACAAGCAGCTAGTTCAACATCAGCGTCCTTAGCTTTCTGGCGACTCTGGAAGCTCTGCCGCCGGCGGCAGCCTGCTGCAGCCTAGTTACTAATACACGAGCAGTTTTCTGGTGCTAACACTTCCCAGGCTTGCACAGTTGCAGTGTGGCCACATCTTCGAAACAGCAGAGCAGCATTGAAGTACGAAGGTGTCGATAGTCCAGTTTAAATCCTTATCGCATCACAGGCGGTCTTCATGTTCTTGCAGATCTTCTTTTATGCGCTGCGCACTCAATGTAACACGATGCCACGGGGTGGACAGGGACTCGATCTGCTGCAAGCAACTACGTGGTCAGCTTTCCAAGATCTTGCCCAGGCTTCGCCCCACCTTCGTAAAACCCTCCCTTGTTGTGGGAGACGACACGTCCTCAGGTTTGCACAAGTAGGTTTTTGATGACACTGGCATTCTGGCAAGGTGTGGATGGTAGTCAACTACATTGTTCAGTTTTCGTGCGTCCCTCAAGTTCCTGCGCCGAGAGTCTTGGTGCGTTTGGTTCAGTAGAGCACTCTTCTGGTCTTACGAAGGTTCGATGGCTTGATGGTGTACCTCTTCGGTCCGAAGGCTCTCAAGGGCTGAAATACTGAAATAGCTGATTCGACAGTCAGGTGCAGTGGGACTGAGCTTTTTCTAGCGTCGATGTGCAGCGCTGAGGTGATGATTTGGTTTTTGGGCTCCAGCTTCCTTGCAGGGTCGTCGTGGCCTCGGAAGCTAGCTAGTCCCCGTAACCTGGCCACCAGACAAGATCACGGGAAGCCCGAGTGCCGAAGACTTACCGACTGCTTTCTGCTTGTGCAAGTCGGTGGTGGCTGGCTTTGTTCTGACTATGACCGCGATGTTGAGGATTCATCCGACGGCTGGCCATTTCATTGCAGAGCACTATGTGATGGAAGGTATTGCCAGCTTAGGGCTTGGGGCTTCAGTGTCGGATACAGTTGTCAAGTATGTAGATGTTCGGTAGGCGAGACGGAGACGTATTCCTACTACGGGCCTTTGAACATGTTGACGTACAACGCCAGAAGCTCAGCAAAGAAGCGGTCGTCCAGACAGATGCACATATTCCATGATTCAACGTGAAGGTTGGCTACCACAACGAGCACCACGACTTCCCGAATGTTGCGTGGGGCAACCTTCCCAAGGTGCTATCCTGCCAAGTGGCGCACGAGCTGTCGCAAACTGACGGCAACATGAAGAGCTTAGCTTGGAGGTCCGTGACATGGCGCCAGAGTTCTATGACAATCTTCCGAGGTGTAATTCTTGGTTCAACTCTCAGGAACTGTTTGCTATTCGTGTCGACAAAGGAATCGATTTTTGTGTGCGATCGCCCCCTCATCTGCATGAGGTTGGGCACACTGCTCAGATACATCTTCGATGACACCATCTCGCCGTACAGCCGGGTCAAACGAGACGTCAAAAAGAAAGCGTCCACGACTTACTTCCTACTCGTAGTTTAGGTTTCCATCCCAGGTTGGCAAGGGAGCGACTCGACAGGAACCCTTCAACTTCGGTGTTCAGAAAGACTTAGCAGACATACTGCATAGCTGCTGGTTGCCCGCTGCGCATTGAAAGCATGCCCAGACTGCCCAGATGCTTTAGTTGGCACCTTGCTTGGAGGTGATATGCTGCTGAGGCTGAGCCTGCAGTGTGGAACATAATGCACTTCAGTGAAGAAGGATGACGGCATCTGAATCAGACGAAGGTGTTTTGGGTTGAGCTGCTTTTCTGAGGACACTTCGGAGGCCTAGCTTGTTGCAGATTTATGAAAGAGGATAGCGAATAAGCCTTTAATTTCTCCCGATCACTGACTGGTCAAAAGTCTGAAATTCAGTCTTCTTGCTGAATCGTCTGTCGCTGTCTTCGCCAAGATGGAAGGCTTCCGCCAGTGTAGTGCGTGCGCACGTTGGAGCGTTGAAAGACATGCTGCTGATGCCGTCATCATTCTTCATTCCGACTCCCCGACAACAAACGCTGTCTGACGAGTTTGGCACACATCACGCCCGCAGCAGTCGAGAACGGATCCTGAGATTACCAGGGCCCTGCTCCTCGTGCTCATAGAGGATGTCTGTGCCACGAAGTGCCCAAGCTGATTTTCCATCTGCCAGCTGGAGTTTGTAACGCTAAGTGAGGCAGATGCAAACACAATGTTTCACCTTTTTTGCATGATTTTGCTTCCACGGGCTAGCAGGCTCTAGATGTCTGGAGGTTGTAGCGTGCGAGCGGCTCGCTTCGGCCTTGGGCAGTGCAAAAGGACATGGATGCGTAGGTTGTCTTTCTTGCTACATCAAATCAATTGCTCTTGGCACATATACTATATTCAGATGAAGACATTCGGACTTCCGGGATGGTGTGTTACACGCGGTGGGTTATTTGCCGAGTCCCCCATCTTTCTGGCTACTGGTCTTGTATGCAGAACATCGGTGCACATCGGCCCTAACGCGCTCTGGCTGTGGAGTCGAAAGGCATGTGGAACAGCTCTTTAGAACATGGCCGCCTTGTGACGTCATGCTTGGATTTGGTCTTGTAAGCATTGCAGAGACAATGTAAGGTCCACATCGGGCAGCACTCGGCAGGCGATGCAAGGCCAGGGTGCGTTGATTACATGCACTGCGATGTGATGCAAGGATTGCTTGCCAGATCTTGCAGTGCTGACTGGAGATGCATACAGAGAAAGGCCACCTAGCTGTTTGCGCAAAGGACCGTTCGTTTGGGTTCAGTGTCTGAGTCCGAGGACCTCAGTCCCATTCGATGTGGTCGGTCCTTGTTAACGGTACCTGTCTTGGCCCCTGGGTGTTCCGAACGCGAGTGTCAAAACCCTAAGTCGAGCTTCACCTGCAGACGTTTGAGCCTCCGGACGGATGAACTTCGTTGCCAGAAAAGCCTGAATACTACATTGCAGTTTCCCGCAGACAGCCTTCCCAAAGTGAGACGTACCAGAGGTCACTGATGGTCGGGGCTTTGGGGTGTGGAGTTGGGGTCGCCGTGGGACACCGAATTTGGCGGCAGGGCGAGTGTGACGTGTCGCTGGCGGCTTTCCTTTTGCGAATCCGTGCACTGCAGATTCGGTGCCGCTTTTCTCAATGAGAAGTCAACTCCGCCTAAGTCAAGGCAGAGCACCTTGCAAAGCCTCCACAAATCCCCAATGCATCGCCCTTGATCCAATCCGGAAAAGTATCCAAACCGTTGGAAACCCGCCGGGCGAGGTTCTGATTGGTTACTGCCTGCCCCGGTGAGCGGTGAGGTGCTTGAAGCTGGGCTAGCCATGAACTTCGATGTCCACAGTGCCAACGGCTGTCACGGAACCGCCTGCTTCATCCCAGCTGAAGGTTGTAGGCTGGACGATCGCATTCGTGACCGTGGTACGACCGTGTTTGCTAGCCCAAAAGAAGGCGTTTGCTAAACAAACATCGAAGGTGTTTGCTACGATGATTGAGGTCACCCAATGGCCGTGGCCATTTTCGGCAATAGGAGGCCTCCAGAGCCCACCCGTCCCACCCTGGAGATTGGCTAGCGAATAACGCTAGAAACCTTCTCCGGCCCAACAAGGCTTCGGTCCACACCGTGAAAAAGAGAGTATGTCCGCCAGCGAGTGCAGTTGTGCAGCTCATGCAGTCCTATCGCGAGCCCTATGGAACAAAGGTGCTGTAGAGAGTGGTGGTTAGATCGTTGGCTACTGAGCTACTGTACGGAGTGGTGAAGCATGGCGTGCTTCATGGATTGAGCCCAGCCGCCTGAATCGTTTGTTGTGCAGGCCAGCAACAGTTGCCAGACCGAGTTCCAGTGACTGCCGCGGCCCTGGCGCAGCGCATCGCAGCGCATTGTTTGACCAACACTGTGCAAGTGGAATCACTCAAGGAAGAGCTGTCGCTTCCAACCCCCGAAAACCCGGACAACAACACGGACACCGGACAGCCCGAACAGCACCCGGAAAGCCCAGACCACAGACTTCTTACCCGGCACCTCTACGCTGAATCGGAATCGCCATGTGAAGGGGCCGGGGGTAAGATATGTGACGAAGCGAGATCGCAGCATGAGTCATGAGGGCGGATCGCCGAAGCACGAGTTCAGGACGTGTAACCACCCGGCTTATAAAACATTAAACGATGTTGAATCGCCATATTGGGGTGTAAGATATGTAATCACCGGGTTCAAGGTAAGAAGTGACGTAGAATCGCCAAAAGAAGCGGGCCGAGCTTAAGATATGCAATGAACTGGGATCACAGAACGAGGGGGGAGCAATTAAGCAAAGTATAGAACCGGAGTCGCCATGTGAGGGGGCCGGGGTTAATATATGTGATGAAGCGGAATCCCAAACGAGGGGGATCGCCAAAGGACGGGTTTGAGATATTTGTTCACACGGCTCGAGAAGTGTACTGACTCGTATTCGCCAAATGAGGGGGCGGGTTTAAGAAACATGATGAACCGGCATGCGTGATCAACAGGGATCTGCAAAGGAGAGGGGGTTAACAAAGAGTCGGAATCGCAAAAAAAGCAGTTGTAGGAGATGTGACCATGTGATGAAGCAGGATCGCCAAATGAGGGAAGCGTGAAGGAAAATATAGAATCGGGATCGCCATGCGAAGTGGCCGGGTTTCAGGAAAGTAAAGAACCGGGATCAGGGGCGCGCTTAAGTAAAGTTTACCATCAGAATCGCCATGTGAGGGGGCCGGGGTTAAGATGTGTAACGACACGGGATTGCTGAATGAAGGGGGATCGCCAAAGGACGAGTTAAGGATGTGTAACCACCCGGCTTAAAGAATGAAATGAGTTTGAATCGCCAAATGAGAGTGCGGGTTTAAGAAGTGTGATGAGCCGGGACTTGTCTGGGCTGTCGGGCCTATCGTCCGGGTTGTTGGGGCGTTCGAAGCGGCACGTTTTGGGGGAGAAGCCACACGCTTGCCCTCAATGTGTGAAAGACTCAGGCTGATTGGGACGGGAAATAGTTTGTTTTCAAGTTGCCCGTTTTGAATTCTCGCAGTTGCTTCCTTCGCAGGACTTAGACCTCTTTTCTGCATGGACCTCCATTCTGGATCTTCCGAAGGAAAAGCTGTGTGTAGCCGATCTTGGGTTCAATATTTCGCAAGCAATGTGCTTGAACAAGAGTAGGTCTATGCCCCATCCACGGCCCACGATGCCTGCCCACTCACAGATCAGGAAATTGTGTGCAAAAGGGTCTAGACCAACTTGTTGGAACAAATACATAAGTCACAATGCTGCAGACAGATTCATGCAAGCTGAATGCAGTCCGTCACTGACACTGGAATGAATGCATGCATCATGGGGCTGCCTGCGCCCTCAGCAAAGCTGGATGAAAGTAGTGTGGGCCGCGAAGCGTTCGTTGTTTGCCCGAACCTGTGCTGACTCCACAGATCTTCCACAACGGCAGCGGGGCTTCTGCGTAATCTGCTGCTTCGATACTTTCAGATTCCCAGCCTTTCGTTGCTCAAGCCAGCATGCGGCATGCAGCATGAGGGGGTTCAAGCATCACGGCTGTCCCCAGGTTGAAGGATGGAGAAGGGTACAAGACCAATTCTTCAAAGGTGCGTCGCGCCTGCACAAGCTCCTACCACAAAAGCGCGTGAGACTTTGATTCCCAAGCCGTTACGGCATCTTGCTTTTGGAGGTTGGCCGCCATTGCCGGATGGGTGGATACGTGTGATCTCCCGATCAACTGGCAAGGCTCGAAATGGTATATTGGAGGGATACGACGCCACACACCCGTATTCCATGGTGGTAGCTATCGCGATCCGACAGGTCTTCTTCGTCGACCAGCATGGTGGCGGAGTTGGACAACTGGAGCTTCCACAGGACAGTTTAATTTTTGGAGGCTGGCAGGGTCTGCAACATCAATTTCCACATCTGTGCTCAGTGCAGGATGTAACAGCCACGGTGCAGTCAGCGTCCTGATCGACCCCAGGGCAAGCCAGCACGTGACTTGTTTGAAGCAGCCGGGAAATCGTACACCTCAGTCCCTTGAGATGGGGAGTTTGAAGGCCGTAGTATGCCCGAGCATCACAAACGTGCAGGGGCAACCGACAAAGCCTGCTTTCGTTCTCCGAATATTCACCATGGGATGCCTCCGCGGTGAAGGGGCCTTTTCGGCTGAGCTTACCTTCAAGGGTCTCACCCCAGAGATCCCCAGGGCCGCTTTGTCCCCGAATGCTTACTGCGCTGTTTTCACCCATGTTCATGAGCGCTATGGCAATAGCAGACTGGCACTTCCAACTGATTCTACAAAAGGCACATGTACTTAATGCTCGCAGTTCACAGAGAGATAGAGAGAGAGAGAGAGAGAGAGAGAGAGAGATAGAATTTGGGCACTCAATTCCCGAAAAGTTCCAGGTACAGCCGAGCCCATTCTGCCAACATGAGGGGATGTGGCTGCTCAAGAGAGCGTGGGGTAGGGACTGCCTGCCCTCCACGCCCCAGAGCAAAGCAAAGCAAAGCAAAGAGATAAATAGAAGCATTCTATGTCGTGGGCCAGATAGAGAGAGCGGGAGAGAGCTCGGACCTCAGCAGTTTTTTCTGATGCATCTTGTCAGGCAACGGCCGGGGACCAGAGTGAACTTTCCAGCCGCTTCAAGCACTGAAGGGTGACCCAATAGTTTAGTCCTTGAGCCTTCCGGCTTCGGCAGCGTTGTTGTGCTTGGAGCAGCGGCCAGTGCTGACGGAAGGTCGAAAGGAATGAGTGAGCAGGGGATCAGGCATCTAATTCGGAATGCAGGCAGGGCGTGGGCAAGTACCTCGTGACCTGAAGTCCATTCTCCAGTGGGATACCAGCTTTGTTAGTTTGCTACATATTTTTCTGCTTCCACCGGTGTCCGAACTAGGCCAAATGACTTCCTCTCCGGGCACACGCCCATGTGTAGCCAAGCACATCCTCTAAAAGCCTGAGCTGGTCGGCATGTGGACAGACTTCGGACCCCAGCAGTGAACCTGGGACCTGGTACACCTTCTGTGTAATATGCGTTGAGCGTTCTTAGACAAGGAGTGTTGAACGGGTACGGCAACTTCTGCCACTATCGGTCATTCTTCAACTTGCTGCCGAGATCTACCCAACTCACAAGGGCTGAAGGGATTACTCGCACAAGGTGGCCGGTGTCCGGCTGCATGCCTTGGACTGCAGCGCTTGGCCCAAGGCATGGTCATGAAATCATGCAAGGACTGTGCCTGTTCGGGGCTGCGCTATGCTCGATTGTACATTCACAAGAAACCTCTTCGCCTTTCCAGTGTCAGCAGGAGGGCAGCATCGACTTTGCAGACGGATCGTCTGAAAGTTTGGAAGAGACCTTCGAGGTCAAACTCTTGCAGGTGAATGCAGAGCTGGGACGCACGTCCAATGAGGCCACAGTGTGGCGCCTGCACAGCTCGCAGGCCCCGCCGGCTCCGCTGCCTCTGCACCGCCAGTCCTTGAGTGTCGAATTGCTTGAGCAAGCCGAGCAGTACTTTGCTCCCATCTTGACCTCTGTCCTTCTGCCTCATGCAATTGCTTTTGGGGTGGCACAATTTCTGCTCCGGCGCCACCGTGGCAAAGCGGCTGAGTTTGTGGAAGCAACGGAGACACAGGAGAAGAAACCGCGAAGCTTTTCTTACATCATTCCACGAGTGGCTCCGATGTGGATCATTCATGTTCTGTCTCTTTTCGCCTACGGCATTTCAGCCCCAAGCCTTGATTACATGTACTTGAATTCTTTTGCCCAGAAGTACGAAACTGATGGGCAAAAGCGGCTGGACTGCTCCAGCCAAATGCAATCCTTGCCGTGCAGTCGAGCTGCCGTGGACATCACGCAGCTTAAAGTTGCGAAAGGCTTTGCTCACCCGGTGATCCAATTTGCTACTGGGCCTGCTCTCGGGGCTCTCAGCGATGCTTTCGGCAGGCGGCCCGCAGTGCTTTTTATCCGAGTTGCCCTGCTGCTCCCCACTATGGCAGCAGCAGCGGTCGCATGGTTTGACCTTTCTATATGGTGGGAATTCGGAGTGCAGTTCCTTGGTATGATTCCCTTCGAACCCGTTCCTATTGCCTGGTATATAGACCGCATTGACCACACCCCTAGCCTCGTTCTCTCAGCATCCATGGTGGAGAGTTCCTGCATTCTTGCGACGATTTTAGGTTCTCTGCTGGGCAGCAGCTTGACCTTAAAAAATGCTATGCTGCTTGGCATGTTGGGGAAGCTCGTCTGCTTGCTGATTGCGATCTGCTGTTTGCCAGAGTCCTTGACGGTACCACAACAGCAGCGCGTCAAGTTTGCCTGGTCCAACCTTCTGCCAACATCTGCATTGCGGATACTTTTTCAGAGTCCTCTGGTGGAGAAGATCACAGCACTTGGAATCTTCGATGCCTTCCATTACAACGGTTTCTACACCCTGTCGGCTCAGTTTTTGCAGCAGCGGCTGGCTTGGTCCCGTCAAGACAGCTATGTCAATGGGATGTTGGAGCAGAGTTCTCAAATGCTGTGGTTGACGGTAGGGGTAAGCGCATTGTGGCCATTGCTGGGACAGGTTGGTATTATCGCTTCGGCTACGGTGGCGGCTGGCATCTCCCATCTCTGGCTAATGATGTCGACTCAGCCTTGGCAGGTGAAGCTGAACAGTCTTTTGCTCCGAGGGACCTTGAGTATGTCCAATTGCGTCATAATTGGCATCACAGGTAAGGCGGCCAAAAAAGAGCAGCAGGGCACGCTCCAGTCAGCCATGGGTTTGGTGATCCAAATGAGCTCGGCATTGGGGCCTCTAGCTTTCCTCACGGTTTACCGTCTCTGCGATCCGACTGCCCCTGGGGCTCCAGACTGGCGCATGATGTTTTACGTGGCTTATGGACTGCTCTTTGCTGTGCCCAGCTTAATAATCACATTTGCACTCCGCAGGTTTGTAGTGGACTCGAATCCTGCTTGATTGGAAAAAAGACTTGCAAGGCTGCGTTTTGGCTGTGTCGATGACAACGTGGAACAAGGCTGTCATGTGGGAGCACGGAAACGCTCGTGGCCGTAGCCGGAACACCAGTCGCACCCCAATTTCCGTGAAGCTTTGCGTGGTACTATGGTGGGAGCTCTGGACAATTCCGAAATGCCTTCCAAGAGCAGGATTTCCATTTCCATTTGAAGGCCAAAATCAGTGCGGGAATGCGGCAGGTGCTCTATTTCCATTCCAAATCACAAAACAGAGAGACTGACAGAGGGCCAAAGCATAGCATCATAGTGAAATGTACGATGCTGAGTCTTTGCTGAAGTTTTTTCTGTGTGCGTGGAGTTTGCCGATCAAGTCACTGTATCTCTGGTCTTGCGGTCATGCAAACGTTCATCAACTCCAATCCGGGCGGGAGGCTTCCCTTTCCTGCTCCATCGCCTGTTTCCCCCAATGAGCGCAGTAGTTACTGTAACACCCCCGGCGGGGTAGTATGATAAGACCGAAGGGATGATTTGGGGAAGGGCGGCGTAGTTGGTCTTTCTTTTCCCAAGCACACCGAAGCCTCATAAAATCGTGAGGCTTGGGTGTCCGTGTCGAATCTTCAGGAGTTTCACTACGTGACATCTGAGGGATTGCCAGGGTTCGAAAGTACTTGCATGTACACCGCAAGTTTGACCTCAGTGTCCGCCGGCATGTGTCAGTATTCGGTTCAAGTCTTGACAACACTTGATTCAATACAGCGGCTGGTGTGTACAGTCATACGCTTCGCCCAACACGAGGTACCATCAAGGCATCAGTCCATCCGCCTAGCGACACTCTCGTCTTCCTGTCCTAAGAGCCCAGAGCTATTGCATAAAATTGGATGAAGAAGGGGTTCTTGGCGGCCAGGCCTGATGTCAAAGCCCGTGGAGCTCGCAAGATTGCAACCCCACTCGAGGCAATCGGATGCCACACGCAGAGGTATGCTTCACCTGCTTCATGTTCTCAGCGGGAGGACTCGAACTTGAACAGTCTCCTTAAAGCAGCCGAGAGGCTTCTCATTTCAGGGCACGTGTCTGCTGCTTCACGAGCGGCATTTTGGGCTCGCAAGCTTCAGTCCGAAAATGATGCTCTATCGCTGACTGAAGTGCTGTCGGCACTTGAGGCTTGCGATGAGAAGGAGAAGGATGTTGCTAAGAGTGCTATGTTGCTGATGAATCGTTCAGACCCTCCGATCGATGCCTTGCTGGAGCTTCTGAGGCATGGTGTTGAAGGCATAATTTGGGAGCGTATGCACCCAGCTTTGGAGCGCAGTCTTGGCCATTTTACAAAGATGCTGCAGGAAGTTGGCCTTCTTTCAGAAGATAGCCTCTTGCTGCAGTCGCCGCTACAGCAAACGGGGCAGACCAAGCAGGTCTATGTGCTGGCATCTATGCGAGAATATGGAGGTACTTGGGTTGATATTCCATGTTCATCTGCGGACCCAGAAAGCATTGCAGCACAGGCTGCAGGAATCACAGCCTCGCCTGGTACGGCACCTCGAAAGGCGGATGGGTATCATCAAGGTACCCGGACATCCAGTGACAGCGGATGCGCCTGGCGGGTAGTTCACAGTTCTGCTTGGCCGCCGTGTGAGCCACTGTCGCCTGACAGCGGAAAGTGGGCTGTGCTTTGCAGCGGCGATTGGGTGGAGATGGTTGAAGATCGTGATGAAGAAGACGCAGGCAGCTGCGTGCACAGCGGGTCCTGGCCAGCGATGCGCTGTGCTGCCGAATTCTTGCATGGCATGCTGCCCAGGCCGAGTTGTAAACACATCCCAGCTGATGCATGAGGTGGTCACCCCCATATCTAATTACCCCAGTACGCCAAGAGGGCAAGTACTGGAAACCGAGCACTGCTTTCCCCGAATACTGGCGGAATGTCGTTTTCCCCCAAGAACCGGCGGCTGCAGGACGAGTTTATGCCTGCCACGCACAGCTGGCGAGACCCAGAGGGACACCCCAAGATTCTTGGTTTTCGCGAGCACAAGGAGACGCGCCTGATGCAAATCACAATGAATCCTGGCCCGGGTTGCGCACTGTGCACCACGCGACTACGGGAGTCTCGCGTCCGACGCATCCCGTGTAAGCAGCAGGACACGGGGCTTGTTTTCGTCGCGAACTCCGCGCGAACATGTCAATCAAGTCTCTTTATTTTGACTGTAATCAAGGATCCCAAAGCCGCACTGCATGGGGAGAAACGCTTAAAATAACACCAAGAAACGACGACGACGACCGATCGCAAGAGCAGCAACAACAAGACAACACCGACAAGTCCACATCATCAGCAGCAACAACAGCAGCAGCAACGGCAACAAAAGCGGCATCAGCAACAATCAGCAGCACCAACGCCAACACCCACAACAACAGCATCAACAACAACCACCACGACGACCACAGCGACAGCAACAACAACCACAGCCACAGCGACAACGACAGCCACAGCCGCAACAACCACAACAGCAACAGCAGTTAATAGCAAAGCAACCACCACCACCAGCAGCATCAGCAATAGTAACCACACCCACCACCAGCACCACCACCACCACCAGCACCAACAGCAATAAGTGCAGCAACAACAACAGCAACAACAAGCACAGGTACTACTAAACTACTACTAACTGTACTACGTAATGGTAGTAGTAGTAGTAGTAGTAGTAGTAGTAGTAGTAGTAGTAGTAGCAGTGGAACTAGGAGTAGAAGTAGAAGTGGAAGCAGTATAAGAAAGTAAACTAGTGACTAGTACTCGGAGTAGCAGTAGGAGTAGTAGCAGTAGTTGTAGTTGTTGTAGTAGGAGTAGTAGTAGCAGTAGTAGTAGTAGTTAGTAGTAGTAGCAGTAGCAGTAGCAGTAGCAGTAGCAGTAGCAGTAGCAGTAGCAGTAGCAGTAGCAGTAGCAGTAGTAGTAGTAGTAGTAGTAGTAGTAGTAGTAGTAGTAGTAGTAGTAGTAGTAGTGTGGATGGACAAAATCTTGCATCACTTTTCAGCAGCATCATTTTATGTTTCCCCGCGCCCCCTTTTTAGCATTGGCTCTGAAAGGCTAGAGACCAGATTTGTTCCAATGGCCTCTCAAGTAGTCCCAGCTGCCAATGTTAAGTAGGAGGTGCGGGGTTTGATGCCCTACTTGTTTGCATTATGCACCTGCAGGTGGTGCAAGATTTTGTCCATCCACCGTACCAAATGCGGGAACATCCAAACTTGTCGCGTTCTGGACACTCAGAAGCTTGAAAAGCTTGTCTTTCCTTACAAAACGAGCAAACACATGCAAAATGACAGTCAACACTACAGTCAACACTGCCAAAACCTTGGGAAAACCAGCAAATGCCTCGGTTCTTAATGTCCAAAACGGCAAAATGCGGGATTTTCCAACATGTTGGCAGCGTTGACTGCAGTGTTGACTGTGTGTTGACTGAGTGTTGACTGTCGTTGTGTACGTATTTGCTCGTTTGGCAGAAAATAAAAGGGTTTTCGCGCTTCGATCAAACAGGGGGGGAAACCACTACTGTAGATGTTTGGGCGAGCAAGTCAAGCCGATGCCGGCCTTCGGAGCGGTATAAGGCCGGCCGAAAGCAGGTCGAGCTTCGACTAAAACGGACGGGCACAGCTCGTGTAGATTTTGGCTAGCAAGTCCTTAGCAGAGACCGTAGTAGTAGTAGTAGTAGTAGTAGTAGTAGTAGTAGTAGTAGTAGTAGTAGTAGTAGTAGTAGCAGTGGAACTAGGAGTAGAAGTAGAAGTAGAAGCAGTATAAGAAAGTAAACTAGTGACTAGTACTCGGAGTAGCAGTAGGAGTAGTAGCAGTAGTTGTAGTTGTTGTAGTAGGAGTAGTAGTAGCAGTAGTAGTAGTTAGTAGTAGTAGCAGTAGCAGTAGCAGTAGCAGTAGCAGTAGTAGTAGTAGTAGTAGTAGTAGCAGTAGTAGTAGTAGTAGTAGTATTAGTCGCAGTGGTAGTGGTAGTGGTAGTGGTGGTGGTAGTGGTAGTGGTAGTGGTAGTGGAAGTAGAAGAAGAAGCAGTAGAAGTAGTACTAGTAGTAGTAATAGCAGTAGTAGTAGTAGAAGTAGAAGTAGAAGTAGAAGTAGAAGTAGAAGTAGAAGTAGAATAAGAAGTAGAAGTAGAAGTAGAAAGTAAACTGACTAATATTTGTGCTAGTAGTAGTAGGAGTAGGAGTAGTAGTAGTAGTAGTAGTAGTAGTAGTAGTAGCAGCAGTAGTATGTCTTCTTCTACGTCGATTTCGAAAGAGCCAACGACCCGCAGCCAACAAGCACGCAAGCAACAGCAACCGAAAACAATCCACATTAACCATCAACAATCACGAGCAGAATCAGATCCAGAGCGACAAACGACACAACGACAAGCAGCAGTGGCTTCGCGAGATTCAGCTCATGTTGGCATGGCAGTTGCGTGGCGCTGTAGACAGGATATCTTTCAACGATGCGCTTGGACTGGCCTCCAAGCAGAAGCCTGCCGTGGTGCGAGCGGCGCATCTGATGCGCCGTGCAGAGGCACCCCGTAGTGGGTAGCCAAAGATTTCACGGCTTGCCGTTACTGGGAGGATTTCGTAATGTCGTCACTAAGGCCCGGTGGAGCCTGGAGTTCCTAGCAGAGACGTCTCCAGATCCCAGTTGCATGTCTGCATGTGACTGGGACACCTTGAAAGAGCTACAGTACACTGTGGGCTGTCCGAGGCAGTCCTGAAGCCAGCAGATTCTCCGTCTATCGTGCACGCGAACCATACCGGCGCCCCGCCGATCCGCGACAGTGTCGTCTCGGTCGTGTGTGTTTTTTCATGTCCTCGTCGGTGCCTGCAAGGCGCTTCCGCTACGCTGGGCGTGCGCCAAGTGGCAGTGGAAGTGAGGCCGAGAGCCATCTAGTGGTACTGGTAGACACTGGCGCTTGCCGCTTGTGCGACAGGACCTCTACGATATGGACTTGGAGGAGCGACTCTCACAGCCTGCAGGTCACATAGGTTGAAAATAAA